GTGTGGCAGAGGCTATCATATTGGGTAGGAGAGACAAAGAATGTCCATCATGATAGAAAATTCTTTTGGACAGTGCTGAACCAGACCAACTGTGTGGTCAGAGGTGAAAAAATATGAGTCTATTCTTTACCCACTAACTAACATTATAGGCTAACTTTTCTGGACAGATACTTTTAAGCATGGTTTCAGATTCTGGATTTCACATATCAGTAAAATACTTTTTCTAATTTTGGGTTGCCAAATTTGTATTTTGTCAAGTAAGGGTGCCACTGGATGAGTAGTAGGGCCTGTCGAGGGAGGCACTGTGCCTTTCTACTGCTCAGCATCATTTCCCCAGTACTCAAAACAAGGCCTGTTCACAGGATGAGCTGAGGAACGACTTGCTGAATGAGTGATTATATATGCAAACACACATAGACAAATATGCACATAAATATATCACATTTTTCATTTCATTTTTGACTGGTAAAAACTTTGTCACTGGCTGGCACTAGTCACCTGAAAAATGTCTGGGTTCTATACACTGGTTCTACACACACAAACTCACACACACACACACACACAGTCACAAAATGAACGTGAGTCATCTAACATTTTCTGAAAACTTTATATTAACAAAGAGTCATACCAAAATATTCTGAATGAGAACGCTACCGAGCATCTCTGGGATTCTTACATCAACTCTATGTTTCACAACCAACGGTGAAGGGAAGCATGGGGAAGAAACTTCCTGTTTGCTTTTCTATGACACCAGAGTGCCCTCTTGTGGTAAAATATAGCACCCGTGTAGTCACCATTTTTATTTTAAAAAACGAGGGACTTTATGCTTATAACACATTAAAACCGGTACTGACCTGTAGTTAATCCGAGAATCAGCCCAAACAAGTACCTAGATATATAAATATAAAATCTGGCAAGTTGTGTTGGTGAAAAGGATAATAAAGAATAATTTGTCATAGAAATATCCAAAGAGGTCATCCACCTATCTAGGAAATGGCTAAATACACAAAAGCATCTCTTGAGGTTTGATATTCTGGATAGTTTCTGTTCATCCTCTGGTCAAAAAAAAAAATGACTACTTTCAAGTTCAAAGTAGTATTGTACACTCAGTTTATTCCTCTAACATCAAAATACCCTTTACTGCACGCAACTTTTTTCACTTTTATCTTCATACTCCTTTTTTGGTTTCCTCATACAAACCATTCTCTGAAAGTCTGTTTTGATTGTTCTTTTATACTTTATAGACAGTGATAAATTCCACCCAAAGTGGGTTTTCAATTAAAAGATAAAAATGTAACCTTGATCATTTTAGACAGTTTTTGCAAATTTCAATGTGATATTCTACGGCCTTGCAAGGATAAGAGACATCTACGTTGATCAGTTTCTGCTGAGGCAGAACTTCCTGGTTCTATTGATTAATGACGTAGAACACTTCTTCAGGTGACAGGACGAGAAAAGCTGATTTATCCACAGTGATCCTATTAAGTGTGGTCTTAGTGAAACAGAGAAGAATCACTATTTGAACAAGACCTCCAGATGCTCACAAACTCTAAGTCAATGACCCTATGTGGGGGTTCAGAGCAAGAAACTTTAAAAGGCAGCTCAGATTTAACTGGCTGACTACCAGCACCTGAGTCTCCTGGGTGTTTGTTAAAAACGTAGACTATGCCCTCGGACCTACTCAAGATTGTAAATCACGTCTCTGTGGAGCGTGGCAACGAACCCGCATTTTTATTAATTCCCCAAGTAAGAACTGCTGTGGATACAATCAATTTCAATACTGAGCAACTGTCAGGAAACGTCCTGTTTGTGTCTGCGGGGCTGCCCTCTACCTGTTGTACGCTGTTTTCTTCTTGCGTTATTTGACCACTCCTGGTATGATGGATGTTGTCTTGCGTGTCCTCAGTTTCATTTTCTTCTCTAACGACCCCAAAAGATATTCTCTTACTGCTGATTCACTTCCATGATTTTACTCTGTTTATTTTTTCTCTCATGTCCAGGGGCTCAGATCTAAATGCTAAGAGTAAACTGGCTGGTGAATAAAATGGTTCTGATGTATTATATTCCTTTTTTTAAAAAAAGCCAGAATTACATTCATATATTAATTTACAGCTATTTATGCTAGAAAAATAAAGACCATAAATAAGTTTACATTACTGAAATGGGTAAACGTCAACAGGAACTTAATTAGGAAAGTTTTCAATACGTTTCCTCTAGAACATAATACTGTTATAGACCTTCTAGTCTTTTACTGATGTCAACAGAAACAATAACCACATTTTTTCTAAAGGCCTTCAAGGTTTTCATTATAAGCTGTTCTAGAATATTTGTGTAAATGATTTTTAACCTTGTGCATACGTTACTTTTCTTCTTTAAAAATAAAGGCAGATGAGAATGAAGAATAACTTCATATCCAGATCAATTTCTTATATTTTATTTTCAATATTTGAGACTAATTTTGAAATGAGAGCACAGAAAAGTTCACATTTGCTGAGTATTTGTTATGTACAAAGTATTAGTTTAAAGATAGTACTTGACGTGTGCTCATTCAAAAAGCCATAAGGAGTATGTTCCACTCAGACCACACAGTGTCTTAAAAGCAACTTCAGCAATACTATCTGAGGAAGGAAAATCCTCTAGGTTGAATAACTTAGACCAGTGAAATGAGCATGCAGCAGCTGGACACATCATCACCCCTCACTGAGGGGATGTTCTGGGCTCCTAGGGTCCTGCCAAATACCAACACAATTTAATCTCTGATGATCCACATCTAACACCTTTTCTATACCATTATCTAACCTGGACCAAAATTAAGGAATGTGTTTGGCTCACTTGTAGAGTACCTAGTGGAGGGCCAGAGCCATGGTAGGAAGGAAAAACCCGGCAGTAGGAAATAGGTTCAAATTCAGACTCTGACTTAGAATTCGTGAGTTTTAACAAAGAAATCACTTAGCTGCTTTGACTCTAAGCCTCTGCATGTGCAGAATGGGCACTGTCACTCCTCCCAGCATGAACACCACAGGAAGGAAGAGGTGATGGATGTGAGCGTGGGCAGAATGGTCTCTAACAGACATTCAATAAATGTTTAATGGATCTCAGTTATCTGAGCTCTATCCTAGAGAAGGGCCAGTGGACTCTGCAGCAAACAAACCAAGGCAAGCTACGGGAACAGTCCCTTCCCAGGGATGGCAGCTGCCATGAACAATATAAATAATCCAACAGGGTCTGAGCTCAGAGACAGGCAAACAGCTTTAATGTTATGTTATAGACACAGACTCTATTATTCACCATCCCCCCACCCATGTAATTACTTCTTTCTACCCTCCAGACTCCACAATTACATATACCAGATTAAACACAAGTGAAAAAGGGGCTACGGGCCCTCCTCTAGGATTGTAAATACGTGGATCAAATCTTTACCAGGCACCATCCTAAGAACTTTATGTGCACGCTCAGCACAACGGCCCCAGGAGGTGGGCACTCTAGTCATCCCCATTCCACAAAGTGGGGACTGGGGCCTGGTGATCACTGAGCTCTTCGGGAACAGAGCTGCACTCTCAGCCACTCTGCTTACTGCGTCCCTCAGAGAAACAAGCAAGAGTCCCACAGTCCCCAACATGCTCTGGGATTCTAAACGACACAATTCCTACCTACTCATAGCAGAACAATATTCAAGTCTAAATAAAATCTTAAAGCCATCGTGTAGCCTACGTATCTTTTACTTTGTCAATCCCCCTATGATACAGAAATTAAACCTATTTTACAGATACTAAGACTCAAACAACACTTGCAAAAGAAGAAAGAGAACCAGAATTTTCTGACATCAAAAACAAAACTTTTCAGCTTCCCCTTAGCCAAAGGAAAACTGAAAATAAAATCTGCATCCCAAACACGTCTTGAATTTAGAATTCTGACAGATAACTTTGCAGGTAGGTATCAAAATTTTAAATATACCCTATGACCTACTAATCCCACTTCCAGGATCTCTCTTACAAAAATACTAATACAGGTAAACAAAGATATTTGTGCAAAGACGTTTACTGCAGCAGCGTTTGTAACAGCAAAAACTAAAAACAACCTGAATATCCATCCAGGCTGTATTATGGCACGGAAAACCATGGAGCTGGTTAAAGAACGAGGTAGCTCTAGATACACTGACACATACATATCCTGGATATACTAGTAAGCAGAAAGCAAGTGACAGAATATGTGCAGTATGATCCCATTTTCATTTTAAAATAAACTCTGTGTGTGTGTGTGTGTGTGTGTGTGAGAGAGAGAGATATATGTTGTGGGGATACAGAAAAAGGCCTGGAAGGAAACACACACTTCCTTGGGAAGAAAAAGTGGGTGAGGGGGGTTTGTCTCTCATGTTTTACTTTATGTAAGTCTATATTTGTTTGAAGTTAACAATTACTTTTGAAATAATATAAGCTTTTGAAATAAAAAGGATTTTGGAGACTAATTTTTTAGAGGGAATAGAATAGTTTATAAATGCCCTTAAAATAAAATGTAAACTTCTCTCTCCCATTTACAGGCCTGTGAGTGCACAGGAAGGGTAGCAGCCCACGTGGTCCTTTTTCACAGCTCTTCATGAAGCTGAGTCATTCATTTTGGAGGTTTTTAAGACCAGCAATGCCTCTATTTTCAGACTATGTCATAAGTGACATAAATGTCAAAATGAAAGCTTTTATAATTATAGATCTTAAAAAAGAACCACATAAAACAAGGACTTAGACGAAACAAATGACTAAAGCTGCAGTTTTGCTAAACTTTATCCAAAATGGGCCCTACTTCCTAATTATTTTAGAGACCTAAAAGTCTAGTGTCTTGTGCTCTGACCCAAATTTGGCACATTTAAATCATATGCAAGTCAGACACAAATGGTCACACCTCAGTATATAACAAAATCTTACAAGTAGCATAGCAAGTTAGCTACGATATCATTTAATAACTCTCAAACTGAAGTGTAATCTCCTGAAGTTACACACACCACAATACACCTTTGCACAGGTAATTTTATTCTCTCCTGTGGGTGTCAACAGTGCTCATAGACTGTAATTTGAAACATTCAGAAAGCACATACCTGAATATTCTCACATTTCTTTACATCACAATTTAATAACTACTGAACAGTTATGTCTACTAAACACAGTGGACAAAATGGTATAAATGTTTACACCACTCCCTTGTAAACAAGGCTTTTGTGCACAATAGTAACAAATGGAATTAATGCATACCACAATACCAATGAGGAAAGACTTTCTGTTTAAATAAACTATTCTGTTTATAAATAAACTCTGATTTTTTCAGTACACATTTTACAGACCTGATCAATAAAAAGAAATGAGACATATATTTTCCTTTAAAAAGAAAATGCTGAGAAATGGACCACTACGGGAGAACTCACTTAGGAAAAGGGGTCAGAGGCAAGCAAAGGATAATAAAGAGATAAAAGTACTGTCATATCTACGTCTGTGAGCATACACCAACACAAGGACAGGACTGTCTGGGGAGGAGTTCATTTTCACTTGAATTCCAGCAAGTTGCAATCAATCTTGTAGTACACATAGGGGTAGTATTCCTGTTGACTCAGATTTAAGCCTGGAATATCCATAGGAGCCTATGGAAAAATCAGACAATTATTCAATTAAGTATTTACAAAAAGCAAAAGAAGAAATAAAGTATTACCATTTACCTTCCAACTGAACACCTACTTTGGGCTCAGTTAATGCATTTATGTTAATGTAATCTGAGTTAGGTATTATCACCTCCATTTTGCAAATGAGGAGACAATCTCAGAAAGGCTGACGTGGCCTGGGCACACAGACAGTGAGTGGTAAAGCCAGATTCAAGCACTCTGACTCCAAAGCCCATAGGTGTTTAATCTTGACCCTAGTAACCATTTTTATGTATACTGTAAACAACTGCTTTTCAAATCCAGGCTTGGGGTACTGAGTTTATGGGATACAGGGTTTATAAAATGTTATAAAAATAAACTAAGTATGGTTTTAAAGATATCACTTACTATATACCTATTTTATAAGAATTTACTGGTAGGAAATTATCTATCAAAGTCAGACCTCATATTTTATCAACAATTCCATGAAAATCATTTCCTACATTTTCTTCTATCAAGAAAAACTAACTTTTCATGGGTTCTAACTAATGTACACGTGAGATACTACCATCCGAAAGAGGAAAACAATCAAGATATTTAAAATCAACAAAATAAAAGCCCACTACAATTTTAAACAACAGCAACAAGAAAAAACACACACACTTTGTTTATACCTTCTGTTTAGAAGAAGATAAAAACACACACCACTTTAGAAAAATGACAGTTCCCTTTAAAATGCTTATCTATTGACGCTACTACTTCTGCCAAATAAGGTTAAAGCAAGTACTTATTTTCTTCCTCCCTGCAATTTATAATTTTTGTAATCATCTAGTATCATTGGTTGCTTCTATATTTCTGGAGCTATAAAATCTGACCTACAGCAAGATAATGACTGGCTTTTAGAAATACCAAGAAGCAAAGCACAGCTCTAACTAGTATAAAACAGAGTAAACAAGGCAAATTACTTGCTATGTTTATCTAACAAATTAACTCTGAGAACCTGAGAGAAATAAGAAAAAGACCATCACAATACTTACTACCCCTTTTCTATCTTCTTCCAATAACGTTTTCTGAAATTCATTCCAGTTTCTATGCTACTAGGCTATCTAAGAAGTACTTACATCAATAATAGCTGCTGCGCTGCTATCCAGATGTTTATACAATTCATATAATACTTCTCTTAGTTTCTTCATTGTTTTCTTATTGGGCTGAAGTAGCATCGCTTGGAAGTTCACTGGCAAGCCATACCTTAGAGGGAAGCAGAAATACAGTATGTAACACAAGCAAACATATAAAGAGATTTTCTTTTGAAAGCAAATATTCTCCTCCTGTTCCTTAATCATAATTAACGGGAGGACGGTTTCTCATTTTAATGACCACCTTTACAAGTTCAACTAATATACAAAGAGACTTGAACTTCTCTGGTTTGCACTGTCCACTAGAAATCTTTCTTTAAAATGAGAGCCAATTGTCTACTATTAATTAATTACTCTTCAATTTTTAAGGTAATCTATGAATACCCTCAGGAAATAGTAATAATATATAAACTTAGTAGATACTTTAGTGATGATAAACAACATGAGATTACCTACATCTACTTTGAAAATTCAAAGAAATTTAAAAATAGTGAGCATGACCACAGATAAGTATTTTTAACTATTTCTAGTATAAACAACATGTACAGAGGATCACAAGATGATTGAGATTTTAAGAATCTCAAAATAATAAAATATTTTAGGTTAACATGAAACAATGACTTAACATAAGTCATTAGCATACTGTGTACCAAACTACATGTAAAATATTTGAAAGATCTTTCTTTTAAACAAACACTGGCCAATATTTTATAATTGACTTTTAACTTAAATAACTACATAAAAAAGAATCAGAGTACAGCAGGATGGATCTCTTTTTCCAAACCTGGTGTTAAGGGACAAGACTTATATGCATGTAATAAACTATGTGATATTGACAATCTCTCTCTCACGAACGGCCCTTTGGCTTCTCCAAATCCATTTCCTATTATTGGACTGTGTATTATAATAAAGAGATCTAAAGTAAAGGGATCTACGAAGTCTTCAGTTCCAAGTTTCTCAGTTAACTTACTTTACCTTAAAACAGACTCAACAAAAACCCTCAACGCTTTCACATGAATCCACGCAATAAACGCCTCACTGAAATTCACTTTAAGCCACCGTACAAGTGGTCCCTATAAAAAAAAAAAATCACCACAAATTTAGTCTTGGAAATGGCAATTATAAATTAGATAAACCAAGTACTTTTAAAGGAGTGACCATCCACTAAGAATCTGTAGGAGAATTAAATCATATTATAATTCACTTTAAAAATGTTTTGTTATTCTCATTATCTTGAATACTTTACTTAAATTAGATTAAAAGGTTAGCCACTACTCTATAACTTCAGTAGACACTAAAATTCATCGAACCTATTCACTACACAGAAACAGGCACATATCTCAATGGAAGCGGTTTAAAGTGATACAGAATATAGAGGTGCCCCAGGCTTGAAAAGCCAGCCCTGTGGCCTAGTGGTCAAGAGTCAGTGCTCTCATCCCTGTGGCCTGGGTTTGTTTCCCAGTCAGGGAACCACAGCACCTGTCTGTTGGTTGTCATACTGTGGCAGCTGTGATGCTGAAAGCTACGCCACTGGTATTTCAAATTACATCAGGGTCACCCATGGTGGACAGGTTTCAGCAGAGCTTCCAGGCTAGACAGACTAGGAAGAAGGACATGGCCACCCACTTCCAAAAAACTGGCCATGAAAAGCCCATGAATAGCAGTGGAGCCTTGTGTGATATAGCGCTGGAAGGTGAGAAGATCACATGAAAAGACCAGGCAGGGTTCCACTCTCCTGTACTTGGGGTCGCTAGGAGTCAGAATTGACTCAACAGCACTGACAAAGGTTTGAAAAGCAAAATATAAAAATCAGAATTTACTATGCATGCTCTGAAACATTTCATCCATTTAAAATAGAATTCAAATTACAAATAATTTCCCAGGAGCAAAGATAAATAGTTACGTAGCAAGTCATTTAATATCCCTAAGTCTTAGTTTTCTCATCTGTAAAATCAGGGTTGATCTAGATCACTAAAACCTCTTCATGCTCTAAATTTTTAATGATTCTATTTCATAGTATAAATTCTTTTCGAACTTAAAATATTCACTATGATTTCCAGTACTCAATTAAAATATTTCTTTAAAGAAACAGATTTCAAATAACTTAATATCACCTCTCAGACACACATGATCAGTTCAACTAACAGTTATTTGGATAACATTTATTGGGCTCATTTGGATGTACCAACCAATTAATTTAAACAAAAAGGATAACAAAACAGGTGAAAATCTTTGGTTAAAATATCTGTTCTTTAAAAGAGTTTTGGATCTTCACAGTAAGTTGGTTTTATTGGACATAACTTGGTTAGGGTTAGTTATCTCCCAATTGAGATGATATGGTTTATGAAGTACTTAGAAATAATTTTAAATGGAATCTGTCTTTATTTCCTCTTGCATTATAAGAGAAATACATTTTCACCCACTATGTTTCCCCTTCCATACAAACTTTTAGTCTTCACAGTAATTCTGTACTTCAAGATGGCAAGAAAGTTGACACCATCTTTCCTTTTCACAGTTCCATCCCTGTTCCCCATTTTGCCAAGAACATACTAACTCTCCAATGGTTTAAGTACAAACTACTTCAGTCAAAGATTGTGGCATTAAAACACTTTGCATCAAGAAAATGAAAATTCTTACTGAAAAGAGAAAACTACTGTTTAACTAAAATAACCCCTCACTACAGGGATATTAATCAAAACACTGCATTTAAAATTAATTTCTGATAGGGATTTAGATGGAGTAATTAATTTTAAGGTATGTATTTTAAGACAACTATTCACAGATCTAAGCTTATTTATAGAATCATTTTGACTACTTAACAGAAAAACTAACAAAAATCAAATGTCTTAAAAGCAAAAGCAGGGAAGTTTTTCTTTCTTTTAAATCAAGGAAAAGCAACACCGCTTTTTCTTCTGATTAACACTGATAATACTAAATATTAAGACCACATACAAATTGCTTTTTCTTGTCAGTAGAAAGCCTGTTCATTTCTTCTTTATCTGCTTTCATCTCCTCTTCATTATACTGGAAGTCACGTACGATGAATCTAAATTTGGGGGGAGAAAACAAAACTGTCCACAACATGTATAGGTAATCTAACAAACTAAAAAACATAAAATAATCATCTTACTTGTTTTCCCTGGCTTTGTGTCTGAAGTCATCAACTGCCTTCCTAAACAAGGTGACATTACAAAGGTAACTGTCTTGGTCCTCTGAGAGAACGCTGTGGAAAAAAAGACGAAGCCTGTTTAAAGCTTTATCCTGATTACGCTCTTCCATAGTGAGGGCAGAACTCAGAAACAGGGGAGGAGGAGGAGCAGCAGGGGATGGCAGCCCTTCCCAAAGCACCTCAATGCTATTCATCTGCATTGCCTCAAACACTGAAGACACTCACTGTTTTTGATGTTTTTATTTGTAGAACCTTAATAGCTCTATATGACACTTACTTCTTCCTAACCCAACAAAATTAAACATTAACTCAAGTAAAGCATCCAGTCTCTGAGAACCATGCTTTTCAATCTGCATCACTGTCAGGCTGGCCAAGCCCAAACTGCCCAGTAGCTGGTATGTTTCCAGAGTCTCCATGCTTCCCTGTTAAGCATCCTCTTCTTTTCTGGAAACCTAATTCTCTCTTCCTCTCTCCAGCCCAGCCCCATGGAGGCCTGGCCCACCCTCTCTGCCAGTACCTTCCACCTCAGATTCTTACTTTCCTCCCCAATCACAAGCTAAATCAAAAACTGTCTAAATAATCTCTGACAAAACACACTTTTATGCATCTCGGGCTTCCTTTTTGGCTTCAGAAGATCCCAGTGAGGTCAGAACTTCCATCCAGTCACAGCTCTCGTGGACATTACTGGAACCTTTCCAGACACAACTGTCAGGAAATTTTAACTGTCATATAAATTTGCAATGCCCTGGGGGAAAGTCCACTGTTTGGAAAGGCAAGCTGTATAGTTCATGTACAGTATGACCCTAATTTGGCTTTCAAAAATTACTCACAGCTACTCATGCAGAGAATCCCATATGCAAGCTCTATGAAGCTACACACTGAATCGTTGAACAGGGACGATCTTGGGGTGGGAGAACACCAGTTAGGTGGGAGAAGGGGGTCTCTTCTCCTTTCTATCTTTCATGTATCAGGAGTTTTTTTTTAATGTTTTTATTTACAATATGGTACTTCTGAAATCAGAAAAATTATTAAATTTTACAAAACTGAGGCACTGCTTATGGAATTGAAACATACTTTACTAAATACGACAAAGGGAAAAAAAAGCAAGCTTAGTTTTTCCAGGAAGCTAAGAACTGCCTGGTTAGCAAAGTAAATTAAGAAGACAACTACAATGCTTAATGGCAGAACTGCTTTAAGAACTGAAGCCACTCTGGCTCCTGGCCGGCCAGCCAGCAGGGGTCCCTCCCCATCAGAATGACCAGCAGACGCCTCTGGGAGAACTGACCACTGTAATCACGGACATGGTGAGAAACTGAGCTACTCTAGATTTAGAATGTTTAAACCTCTCTTTAAATTGTGCCCTCTCAAAACTATTGCCCTTAGTTCTTGCTCCCACTGCATATCAAATCCAAAGCAAGGTCGCTATCAAGTGACAGAACTCAATAAAAAACCTTTCATGATCTTTCGGTTTGCCAGCATAGATAGACTCAGTAATGTGCAAACTGACTGAGATCAAAACAAATCCAAATCCAACTTGACAGGCTATTTCAGACCTATAACAATATTCCACCATTATCATATTAATCTTTTAAACATATACAGTACTTTGCTGTCTTGAAGGCTGTTTCAAAAGTGTTTGATGCTTGACACAGCTCTGTGTCAAGGAGCCAGGTGTCTATTATGCAGGCTCCCATCCATCATGTAAGACCCGGGTCAAAGCAAAGTTGTTTGGCTTACTCAAAATCCTTGTGGTGAAAGAAGCCAGGCTAAAAATTCAGTCTTGTTTTATGACTAAGTCCCTTTGCACTACCTTATTAAGAAAAAATAAATAGAAATCATTTGCTTTTCCTTCCTCTCCCCAGGAAAAGTATTTCTTAAACTTTATAAAAAATAAACCATGAGTCCTTAGTATAATGGACTTTTGGTCATTTAACATGCACTGAGCCTCAATAAATGTGCCCAGCTCTTGCCTATTAGGAATAAAACTAATAAGACATAGTTCCCTGACCTCAAGACATGGGTCTAATAAAGGAAACATATAAACAGGAAACTACAATACAGAGTTGTAAGTGCTATAAGAGAAAATATATATGATATATTGGGACAAAAAAGGGAATGAATAACTTTATCTGGGGGACATAAAAGAGTTGCACTACAGTGGTGATGCCAAGTGGAAGTTTGAAAGACAGGCGAAGGAAGAGAATGTTCCAGGCAGAACCCCATATGCAAATACAAACAGGAGTGGAATAGCACAGTGCATCTGGGAAACTGCCAGAAATAAGTAGAGCTGGAACACAGGGTAGAAAGGGTTTGTGTGTATGTATGCGTGTGCGGGTGCCAGTAACAAAGAGATCTGTATACCACAGAGATGAAAACGGCAGCAATGCAGAAAGAAGACTGATGAGAGGAAGAAAATGTGGGAGATAAGGAGACCAGCTACTGGCAATCACAATGGTCCAAGAGCTGGGGTCTAAACTGAAGCAGCAGCAGTAGGTACAGTGGGATAGTTTAAAGTAGGTTGAACCATATGAAATTAATGATATCTGACCTTTTTGACCTACAAAATAGCAATTTCATATGGTTCAACCAAATACTATGGGAGGTAGAAATGACACAACTCATTAGATGGGGGGATGAGGGAGAGGTAAGAGTCCAAAATGACTGACTACCATGCTGCTAGTTTGGGTCACTAGGCAGATGTTGCTGTGATACGCTACAAGGGAGATGGGGAGTCGGAGGCTGAGACTGGGGTGACAAACTTGTATCGGTAGTTACCTAGGGCACAGAGAGGTGGAGTGGTCCAGGAGGAACCCAGGTATGTGGATCTGAAGCTATGGGGATAAACAGGCCACAGATGGAGATCTCGGAGTCCTAAAGCTACAGGCACAGGTCAGAGCCAAGGGTATGGCTGAAACAGCACTGACAAAAGAATGGACCACCTCGCTGAGACAGAACAGCCTGTCTAGACTGGTCAATATTCAGGGTTACCAGATTCTCTCCAGCTCACTCGAGCAATTCGGGTGTAGAAGCCAGGAGACTACATTAAAGATTAATTTGGGGTGGGAGTTTGCAGAAGGTCACAGGGAGCAGAGATGATGGTGCTGGCAAGAGAACGGCTGAAGTGATGACTAGAGAGTGCAGGCTCAGGAGAGGAAGCACGACTGAAGGAAATCAACAACATCAGTGCAAACAAAGGGGTGGGGACTGGAGATGCAGACAAGGGCAAAGAGCAGCTTCCACGGCAGTGAAAAAGATGGAAAGAAGGCTCTGGCTCAAGAGGTGGATTACAGATTTAAGATCCCAGAGGTAAAGCCTTTCTAGAGGTCAAGGGGAAGGCCAAGGGCAGAGCGTGTAGAAAGCCAAGTAGAGGTGACGGTCTGTGAGCTTCAGGTATAGGGGAGATGAGAAGCCAAAAGTTGGATGGATTTCAAACCAAGACAAAAGCGGCATCGACCCTGTGACATATGAGACCAAAGTCTCATATAAACAAAATGAAGGCACAAGGAGAGGAAAGAGGTAAGAAAGTACCATCTTTTCATGATTACACATGGACTTGAACTCTCCCCAGATATGACGGTGGCCAGGAACTGTGCCTGAAAGGGGGCTTAGTTTAACCCAACTTACAAAAGTTCTATCAGGTTCAAATAAATGACTCAAACTCACTCTCTTTAGTTCTACTGTTATGTAGAAGTAGTAACACTATCTTTTTCTAAGCGTAACCAGGGCTAGAGGAAACTAAAAGTCAACACTTTTCAGATGTTTCGTGGCATTTTCAGTCACTCATGTGAGTGGCAGTGCTCCTGGAGCTTACTAGCTCTTCCTGCTGCTTCCGATTTCTTACCTCCCTCCTCTGCTATATTTGCTCCCTAATCAATCTACCTGTTTCATTGCCAAGGCATCTTTCCTGCTTTTCTCTATGAAAGTTATCTTTACAACCCCTGCTCCAAAAGACAAGAGAAATGCTCCACTAGGGTAGTTCTTTGTAGGCCTTCCTAGCGAGGCTCCTCTGCTTCATTTGGAGCCGCAGCACTGTGAAGCACCGAAAGAGTCTGCTGCTGTTTCCAACAACAGAGAAAAGGCAAAAATTAACCAGTGATCTGACTCAATCAGACTATTAACAAGGAAAAGCAGACAAACAAAAGGAAAATGGTAATTGTGAAAGTACCAGTGAAAAGCACCTCTTTCTAAATGATTTTTCCAACAAGCAGCAGCAGCCCAGCAACCCAGCCTCCACTTCTTTGACCATAACTTTGGCATGGTATTTACACACATCCCTGCACTTAACCACACAATAATGGCAGGATTTCCAATTGTCCAGTCTTTTCAGACTTATGTAGAATATTTTGCAAATAGCTAGATTGTGTATTTTTTTTTAAGATTTTACTTTTCCTTTTTCTCCCAAAGCCCCCCGGTATACAGTTGTATATTCTAGTTGTAGGTCCTTCTAGTTGTGGCATGTGGAATGCCGCCTCAGCATGGCTCGATGAGCAGTGCCATGTCCGCGCCCAGGATCCGAACTGGCGAAACCCTGGGCCACCAAAGCGGAGCACATGAACTTAACCACTCGGCCACCGGGTCAGCCCCTAGACTGTGTATTTTTTAAGTGAAATATTTTTTTTCAGGTTTGAAGATGGTATTTTTCAACCTATTCTTCTCCCCCAAAATTCCACTTTCATCTTCACCGTTCCCAAGAGTAATCAATCACTCAAGCATCATGCCAAAAGCAGCAAGTGAAAGTATTACTACTTATAATTGACTTAAAAAAAAAACACTTAGAACAATGATTAGCATATAGTAATTACTCAAAAATGTCGTTACTATGATAAGCAAAAAATCCAGCATCAAGTCACAGAGATCTTTCCTAAGCAGTGGACAAAATTTCAGACTAACCCACTGAAGTGTGTGTGCCCTACATGAACCAACTTAACAGTGCTGGCTGGGCTACTGCTCTATTCTTGATGACCAAATTTAAATAGCTGAGTTTACAATCAGTGATGCCAAATGTCTTTTGAACTGAGAAACAGGTAGAACAGATGCTTTCATTGAGACAGGTTTAGTTCTCAAAAAAATCAACATTTATGAAACTACAATAATCATCATATTACCTTAAGTTTTATATATCTTATCAAGCCTTAAAATAACCACATAACGTGTACAGGAAAGGTGCTATGCTCGTTTTACAGACAAAGAAAATGAGGCCCAGAAAACTTAAAAGACTTTCCCCAGGTTGGGAACAGAACCAGGAACAGACTTCAGATCCCTGGGCCCAGGACTCTCCATTACATTAAGCTCCCTCCATTACACTAAGCTATGACACAATGAAACTGGAAAAGAAAATATTTCAAGGACCTAGGCTTACTAATGCCACCTCTTTACTATCTCCTATACCTTTCTTTCATCACATCGCTACCTCCTGAAGCCCATACATACAAAAGAATCCTTTGATGTGCCTATACACAGTATTGAGTATTTTTGCAAAGAACACCCACGTGGAATGGCAGAATTCAGGAAAAAATGACATGGTAGAGTTCAAAAGAGTACAGGACCTGGATTTAGAAGACCTCAGTTTTAATCCTAACTGCCACTGAACACTTATACAGCCATATGCCTTAGGCAACTATTTAACTCTTTTGCATTTTTACTTCCTCATCTATGAGAATAAGAATGATAATTGTCCAAAGTACTTCACAGAATTGTTGTAATACCCAATAAGACAACGTATGTTAATCCATAAACTAAAAAACACTTACTAAAAGTGTTTTTTTTTTTTAAGGAAAGTATAGATTAGGTAGAATCTATGCTCACTGGAAAGTGATGGTGACTATTTGGAGATTAACACAGTACTCTACATAGCCATTTTGGTATACTTCCTTTGCAAGATAAATGAGGAATTATAGTCACATAGTAGGTACACAATAAATACTGAATGAAGAATTTTCAGAAGGTAGCACAGCACAGCGGAAAAGTACACCAGAGACCTGGGTTCTAATTCTAGCCCTGCCACTAATGGGACATGTGACTCTGGGCAAACCACTTCACCTTTGTGGCCTCAAACTTCTACATCTATAAACATGAGTGAGTTGATCAGGCTGAAAATCCCCTTCCAGGTCGAAAATTATGGTAACTAGAGTTAACATAATTCATTTATAAAGTGAAAAGATAGTTCTAAACTGTAACTGACCACAAAGGAAACATACAGACATTTCTAACCCAACATCCAAACTATAAAAAGAATTCCAGGAAAGAAATGGGTTTTACAAAGACTACTACTTACTTGCTAGACCTTGGAACTACCATATCAGCTAACGTTTCATACTGCTTAATCCAGTCGTTGTGGTTTAACCTGAAGAAAAGGTACAATAAGTTCTGGAAAAGAAAAACAAGTCCCGCTGCCTGCCATTTCCAGAAAGAGAAAAAACTATGGGATAAATAGGAAATTCAACTACATTAAGTATACTCCAAATCTATTTAACAAAAAAAATTCAAGTTTTCTACTGAGAATAAATTTCAAATACACTGAATGGTGAAGCAGGAAATACAGTTCACCACCCTATTATATCTAGTAACTATTGCAAAAGAGGCACATCCTCGAACTAAGATTGGAAGGAAAGTAAAGCAAAGTATAGATTCTAAGTTACGTTCAAACTTTAGGGTTAAAATACACATTACCTCACAAAAAAAGAAAAACGCCATGTTGAAATCACTACCATTTCTATTCAGTGGCCATTAGGAAGGACTGGATAAAACCATATTTACTGAAAGCACAGAGTACCAGGAAGTATTGAGTAAAAAGGTGACGGTAAACTATGATGTCAGAGAACATTGTGCAACAACCTTTTCTAGAGACCATGGGCTTTTGGGGACGTACGGAGAGACAATTATGTTTGCAATTTAAAATAAAGAACTGTAGTATTTGTAAGCCAGGATAGTGAATAATGCTAAGTATTTTAAAATAAAGATTGAATGGGACAAATCTTTTATTTGGGCAAAGGTTATTTTCCTACATAGTATAAAAACACAGATACACAGAAATTTATTATAAATAATCTGTGTTCTAGTATTCTACTAGAAGGGAGAAAAAAGCAGAAGTCAGATAATATTGTAGCCAATGTAAATACAATGGAGGTGCTTTCCCAACCCTTTCCAGGAGGCATCATTTTCCAATATTCCCGGTATCCTAACCAGATAAAATGGAGAACAGAGCAAGGGAGGACTTCATGCAATGATGCTCTGAAGAGTCCCCAAATCTCCCGCTTCAGGTTGGATCCCTCCAGACGCCCTGATAGTGAGACTTCAGTGCACAGCAGAAGCGAAACCATTAACAGTGTTTAATACACACAGCGTTGTAATCTTCCAAAGGTTTCACTTTACCAAGATTAACTATGATCGAATGTTAATTAACACAGAAGGCCTAATCTAAAGAAGATATCGAAGGGTTACCTAATCCAGCAAACTATGTCCATAGGCCGTGCCTATTTTTGTAAATAAAGTTTTACTGAAACACAGCCACATCCATTCGTGTACAGATTGTGTATGACTCCTTTCAGCTACAACCACAAAGCTGACGTGGTAGAGTTGCGTAGTTGGACCAGAGACCAAATGACTTGCAAAGTGTAAAATACTATCTGGTCCTTTACATAGAAAATTTGCTAAGCTGACGTGGTAGAGTTG